CTCGAGGGCATCGGCGTACGTCTTGCCTGTAGGCTGCGTTAGCTCTCCATCTGGATCTGGGACAGTAAGGATCGTGAGCATACCATTGTCCCATGCATCGATGGTAGCAAGCGTCTCCTTGTGCTGCTCAATCAGATCGGCGAGCTTGTACATGAGGGCACCACGATCCGTGGCCGAGATGCCCTTCCAGGACTCATGTCTCAGCGCTGCGTGCGCGGCCTTGACGGCCTTGTCAATGTCTTCGACCTCTGCAGCCTGGACGGATGCGATCTTTTCTTCGGTGCTGGGAGGTGAGGTTGTCAGTATCGTCGTCCAGGTCAGGATGAGGGACTCGCATGTGATGCACAGTGAATATGAGGATAATGGGCACTCACGCAGGATCTATCGAGTCAATGAGCTCGCCCTTGGCAGATTTGACAAACTCATTGTTGATAAAAAGGCCGGTGGGCTGGGTGTACTTGACGCCGTTGGGGGCCGTCAGCTCAACAGAGAGATCAGACATTGCGGCGATGTCGTTGACACTATTTGGTTGGCGATGGTGAGGGGTCGACGAGAAGAAGTGACGCGCCGCCGGTTGTCTCTGGCGTGTTCTTTTCGCGTGAGGGTCGAGGTTGAGGTGGCGCTGTCGGATCAGAGGGGTATCACAGAATCGAGACCGACAAGAAAAGGAACAGGTCAAGAGAAGAGGTTTGGCAAGTGAAGAGGAAGGGCGGGCGATGCGCAGGCGAAGGGGAGGAGAGGAGAGCATCTTTTTCTATTTGCTCCAGCTTCTGGTGTGCGAATTGCGCCGGCGGCCCATTGGAAGGCCGACGATAGGAGCTTTCGAATTGGAGGGGTCGTTGATGCGGTGGATTGTGTGCATGTGGGCAGTCAGCGTAGCACAGCAGATCGGAGCGAGCTTCCTGTCCAATCGAAGCTCAGTGTAGCTACTCCGCATTCACTTACTGCATTCGGCCCAAGGGGGGGTGGGGGGATGTTAGGAATGGGGGCATGGAGCATTTCAGAAGAGTGATGAACGTTGGAGGAGAGGCTGGAGCATCGAGCATGAAATTGAAGCCCCCACGGCGGGGATGTGTGACGTGCGGAACCGCTGTGCCGTATTTCCCATCGGCGATAAGAACATCGGTGGAGCAAAGAACCACAGCATGGCGCACAACGCGGGGATTGAGTCGTGGACTTTTCGGGGATGCACAAGTATATCAACCAAGACCTGTATCCAAGCCATGCCTCTTGTCGCCGAAACCTCAGATACCCCGGGTTTTAAGCTTTCTTTTAACATCATGTGCCGGACAAAAGGGATTCAATCTACGGATCCTCAATACTGGAATAAGGCTGAAAAAGGCACAGGGTCCAGGGGGCACGTTGCGACTTTCGGCTTTTACCAGCCGGGCCAGTTCCCTCTGTCCGATTAGTGCGATGCTCAAGACTCTCGACTGTGATTTTGGCCTTCTCGCCGACGGATCGGCAGTGGTAGCAGTCGTAGGTGAAAAAACAATTCTTATACATCTGTTAGTGATTATTTCGAGGATACAATCTTCAATGTTTTGTCATGGGATGCACCCGTTATGTAATCACGCAGAACTCGCTAGACAATCGCATGCAAAAGATGCCAGTTTCTTACCGCAAACGCACAAGCTCAACTTTACGTGCTTGGAGAATCAGTGGGTCCCGTCCAACCGGGCCGGCCCCGCCCCGCCGTACCCAGGGGATTAGCTCCGTCCGGCCCGGTTAGGACTCAGAAGAATCACGGATAGAATAGAAACCGCAATGACAAACACAAAAACCATGCAGTGTAAAAGGCAGAATGATACTTTTAGTTCTTGCGCCGCCGGCCTCATGCACTTTGCCCCCCCCGCACTTACTAGTCAAGGTATCTTGCGAAACAATGTTTAGGACACGACGGCTGTATCTTCGGGTCCGGGCTACGGGCTCACCTCTCGGCCGCGTGCTCTCCTGTAGGCTTCGCATAAGCCTCCGCTCGGTCACCGGAAGCACGGTGTCTTTGTCTTTGAAGACCTATGAGCATGGGCTCCCTAGCTGCGCGAAGCCGTTCACGCAAAGTGTGTCAGGCGCATGGAGGAGGAGGAGGAGGAATACAGGGGTACTTAAGCTTAGAGGCGCAAGACTTCAGAAGTATCTTCTCTTCCTTTGACGGGGAATTATGGATATGAAGCATCTCCATGTTTACCCTGATTATGACCATGTAATTAAACTTGATTATCTATCCATCAACACATACTCGTGAAGCATAAAATCTACGGCTACTTGGTAGCTGTTCTAGAAAGTCCAATCCTTCCGTCCGCCTGTTCCCGTCATATCTAGTCTATTCCTCGTAAATGTTGGAGTCACTGTCAAGGTTAGCCCCCATTCATCTTCTCCACAGGGTTATGAGTACTCACAATTCTTCGTTGAACTTGTCTCTGCCGTCGGCATTCTTATTGACAAAGATGCTCACCGAGGTACCAGAGCACACGAACTCGCCAAAGCCGTCGTCGCCAATGGTAACCTCCCTATCGTTCCAACCCAGAACATCGGTCCAGACCTCGCCGGCGTGCATCTCACCAACGTGCATACGCTTGGATCCCGGTCCGGCGTTGCTGGCCACCACGGCGCAGCCGTAAGGGCGGTCCCACGTGCCGTACTTGACCCAGCCGAGGCACGTCGCGTAGTCAAAGTAGTCGGCCTGCTTGCCGTAGGCGTAGAGCTTTCTGGCCAGCGTCATCTTGGGCACGGCACCGCCGCACGAGGGCGGGAAAGGGTGCTCGCCCTTGATGCCGTAAATGTCGCCGTACCAGACGCAGGGGTATCCGTCGGTGCGAAGGAGAATGAGGGCGTACGCGATGGGCTTGAACCAACCCTCGATCGGGGCCTCCAGGGCCTGGTAGGGTTGCGTGTCGTGGTTCATGACCAAGGTCTGCGTGCTATTAGAACAGTCTCGTCAGTGCGATAGGATTGGATAGTGCGTACCACTGCGTTGATGGGCTCCTTCTGCACCAGAGTGCCGTCAAAGACCTTTCTCATGTCGGCGCCGTTGCCCTTGCTGATCTCGCTAAAGTTGTACACCAGAGGCGCGTCGAAGAGGGTGAACTGCCTGCCCATGCGCTGCAGGTACTCGGACATGTCGTCGAGACTGTCCTTCCAGAACTCACCGACAAAGAACCAGCCCTTGCCGTACTCCTTATCCAGCTCGGTGATGAATTGACGCAAAAAGTCCTCACTATAGTGCTTGATGGCGTCGAAACGGATGCCCTGGAGCGGCACCTCTTAGGCTAGCCACTTGCCCCAGTTGAGGACGTCCTTGACAACCTCGGGGTGGTCGTAGTCGAGGTCAGAACCCATCAGGAAGTCGCTACACATGGTTAGCATGGTCTATGATCCAGTCAACGGGATGCCTGTTCTTACTAGTTTCCCTTCTCGTCATCGACGCTCTCCGCCCATTGCTGGTCGCCCTTATCGCCCAAGATCTTGTAGATTGCCGTCTTCTCGTTCCTGGCATTGTAGTCGACACCGCTGAAGTGGTACCAGTGGTACTTCTGTTCGCTGTACTTGCCCTTGCGACCAGGGAAGTCGTAGCCAACCCAGGCATCGATCTCGTACTTGTCGCTGACAAACTTTGTGCGGTCGTCAGAATCGACCTCGGCAGCGAGACACTTCTCCTTGCGATCGGCCGCAAATTTGTGGTTGAGGACGGCGTCCCAGTAGATGCCGACGCCGTTGTCCTTGGCGGTGTGCGCCAGCTTCAGGAGCTCCTCCTTGGTACCCCATTTTGTCGCTACAGATCCCTTTTGGTCAAACTCGCCCAAGTCGTAGCTTTCGGGATGATTAGCGAGATGGGCCGGCTCAGTAGAGATTAGGTCGCGATACGTACAGATCGTAAATGTCGTAACCGTTTCCAGTCTTTGATGATCCCTTGCACCTAGATTCGGAGTCAATGGGGTTGGTCTTGGTCTTCGCAATTCAATTGAGGTTTCGTCTTACGCTGGCGGGATCCAGATGTTGTCCACACCGAATCGCTTGAGCTGGGGAACATGCTTCTCGAGGCGGACCCAGTGCTTCTGATCCGCAGGCACATACCACTCGAAGCCCTGCATCATCGTGTGGTTCTCGGGGGTCGGTTCTTGGTCTCCCATGATGGGCGATTGTGCCGTTGCGGCTGACGGCTGGCCTGAGAGCGAATGGAGGGGTTTGGAGGGGTCGAGGAGGGGTACCTAGAACAAGGGTGAATTGGCGATCAGGAATTTGGGGAAGAGGAAAGATTGAGAAAAGAGAAGAGAGGAGGGATCGGAACAAGACGTCAGGCTGTAGAAGAAGAGGTAACCTCCATACCATATAAGTAGTATTACGTTCTGAATTGCCGACCGCCGAGCTACAGTATGCACGCACCGACTTCTCCTGTCGGTTGGTTCACCAACAGGATCTTACGATGCATCGTAGCTGCTGCGCTGCTCCTCATGCAACACAAAACGCAGGTTGACGCGGCGACTGCGAGCAAATCAAATCGTCGAATCGCAGCATTCCACACGGTAGCTCCAACGCATGGCCAGACAAAACGACATGCGCTTCTTACGACAACAAAGGGGCCCCTAACCTGGAAAATGGCACGACGCTAGCAGCATGCCATCAATCCATGAAATCCATGGACGGCTGGCCCGTCGATTCTGTTGGGACTGGCGTCGAATCGCAGCGGAATTCCAGGCGTCTTCTGCCTTGGATTTTCCAACTTGACAGGGAAGTTTGACGTCATGCCGCAGCTGGTGTCCCAGATAAGCCCGCAGGAGCCCGGCGCTTGCGTTCAACTGCTTTGTGTTTAAAAAGGTCTAGACCATCCTGCCTGGAACTTTTTCGAGTTTATTGGGCGGTGGAAGAAAAGACACTAGAGCTTTTGCTGACTACTCATTCCGAGGTGAGCTTCGGTGACGGCTCCAGGTCTGTGCCCTCACCTTGATCGGAGGCAACTCCGGTCTGCGGTCAATATCTTCCAGCTAGCACCGTTTAACCCCTCATCGTCGGCCATTCCCATTGTATGCAACAAGATTAGGACTGCCAACTCCAGGATCGGTAACAATGTCCTTAGTAGCAAGTTCCTTGATGCGTGCACCGATCGCCCCAGGTGCATCCACAGCAGAGCCCTCCAATCCCTTGAGATATAACGCCAACCCGGAGATGTGTGGTGTTGACATTGACGTTCCCGACAGAAGCTCAGTTCCATCCTGGTACAACGAAGTCGACCTCACATCCACACCAGCAGCAAAGACATCCACAGAAGGCCCAAAGTTGGACCACGTAGCTCTGGTGCTATTGATGTCAATCGCACCAACCGTGAAGGCCGTCGGCGCGCTAGCTGGTGATCTCGTGGAAGCATCCTTTCCATCGTTCCCAGCACCGACGACGACGAAGACGCCCAAGGCCGTGGCTGCGTCGACGGCGTCATTCAAAGCTGTGGATGTAGCAGTCGCTTATATTGTGTTAGATGCGAGCGTGCCAAGGAAGGAGTATACGACCTACCTAAGCTCATACTGATGACAGACTTGCCAGCCCTCCCAGGAGTGTTGGTGATATTCTGTACAGACCACTCCAACGTCTCGATAATCTTGGCCGTCGTGCTATAAGCAACCCTGGTCGTCTTCACGTCGACAAGGGTGGCATTCTTTGCGACACCGAACCTTAGGGATCCAATGGTGCCAGCCACGTGCGTGCCGTGCCCAAAATCATCGTCGTGAGCAACTTCGGGGAAAACGTTGGTGCCCTTGATCGCGCGTCCCTGGAAATCAGGATGGGAAATGCGAATCCCAGAGTCGAGAACATAGGCAAATGTGCCTGTCCCCGCACTCGTGTCGTAGATGTAGGTCTGATGATCCACGTCGGCGCTGGCGAGTTTTGCTCGCGAGGAGAGGCTGGCTAGACCCCAAGGCTGGTCGTTGACCTCGGTGAGAGCTGTCAACGAAGCTTCATGGTCAGGCTCGATTGCGATTACCTGTCTTGTGGTTAGTTACGGGGACATCGTCACTTCAAATTATCTCGTCACGTCTGGCGAATGTACCTCATCTTTAGCTTCAATCTCGGCCAACAGCGCTTCGTCAAATTCGCCAGTGTAGGCCTGGAAATTCCCGATTCCGAATGTCCTTTCGACTCCAATGGTCTGACGGCGAGACAAGCTCCGTCTGTGAGTTCCGTGGATCCAATCGAGGTGCTGCTCCACGTCGCGCTTGTCAATACCTGACTTAAGAGTGACGATCCATCTGCCAGGAATTGCAGCCGTGCTTTGTTGTTGCTGCGAATGCGGCGCGGCAGCTCCTTGCGCGACAAGGGAGGCGATGGCGATGCCAAAAACGCAAATTCCTCTCATCTTGAAGCTCATAAGATTGTCGATAGCAGAACCTGGACCAATATCCAGAATGAAATTTCAAAACATGAAGCATCGACAACTATACAGTGGTGCAGGATCCGGGGTTTTGGTCATTTAATGTTCCTCTTCTCCTGGAATGTTTGTCGCATCCTGCCATACCCCTCGACTTTCGCGTCAGGCAATTTGAATCTTAGCAAGCTCCAATACGAGCTGTTCTTGTATGCATGGCCGTCGAGCTGCTTTTCATGGAAGCCATGCTGCGCAGAGGGTTACGGTACCAGGTTCTGTGAGTGGGGGGATCGCAATGCCAAGTGCTTGAAACGGAAGGTGTCTGTTGGACGACCGGGATAGAATGCAACTTTGGAAGTTCGTCTTGCAACCATAGGTCTTACGCGAATAGACCCAAGATATCATGAAAGCAGATAAGGCTCACGATCGTGGAAACTGCCCAAGCTTTGGTTCCTACCTACAGAGAGAAATCGAGTAGAGTTCCGCAGGTGAACCTACGGACCCCTTCGGTACTCTTTTTCCTCATGGAACATGAAGGTAAGGTTACTTCGCCGTTTCTAAAAGTGCCACAACAGTAATAAGGTCCCTCAAGCTCAGATTGGTTTAAAGTGATGTGTGAATAAGTACTACTTATCCTTTGAAGAATGGAAAACCGCTCGCTCAAGGCCTATGCCACATCTAATTGGGTGTGAACTATTAGATAGTCTTGATTGAGTTAAGGCTTAACCAAATATCCTTCTAAAATCTTATTTCCAAAGAAGGCATCTAAAGAAGGCAGTTGGTAACGTGGGCACAATGGGATCTGTGGAGAGAATGAGTTGACTCAAACTCATATTTGTCTAGGCATTGCCTTTCTAGGACAAATGCGCACGTCTCGTCGTGCTTCTTCTTGAGCCCTTCTCTGAAATTAAGTAGTGTGTATATCATGTGTGAAATATTAAACTTTTTCACTTTCGTTAGAAAGGAGGCGGCATTTGACGGGGATCGAAGGACTTGTAGGCGCTTACATATTCCACGAGCTCAAGGGACTGCCTCGAAACTAACTAACATCACACGCCTTCTTGTAAATGCAAAGATAAGATCGGGTCTTTACCGAAAGACACCATCCCTCGGTCTGTAATCCGACAGCAAGCAAGATCGGCCAAGAAATTCGATGAAGGTAGTGCTAAACCAGACCAAACACACTTGGGTCAAATGCTCGGACCCCGACTCCGAAAGCGGGCTTCTTAGATCTGTTAGAGTGCGGAGTGGGCCCCGGGCGGATCATCCGAGAGATGCTTATCAGCCATTCTCGGATTGCGGGCCGGCATCGCTGCACCACATCAGCATTTGAGCAGAAAGAGTATTCGGGTTGCAGGTAAAAGGTATGGTTTCGTCGATGTGAGCTTAGATTGAAGCTTATCTTTTGTCCACATCATTGATAGGCGATGAGCCATTATCCTCCGCCGGCGATGTAGGCCTCACGGCATCGCCGCATTACGTCGGGTCGCAAGCCGACGAAGGAGGCAAAAATGCGTTTCATGACTTCGAAGAGCGAAACATAAAGGACGGTTTACGATGGATGAAAATAACATGAATGAATACTGATGAGAATATCAACCTTGAATTGAATCATCATCACGACACCTCATTTGACTTGAATCTAAAGCCACTCTATCACCTACCTACGTAGACCTTACTCACACAATATGCAGAAAATCAAGCCTGTCGGCTGGGTAAGTGGACTGAAAAGCAAAGCCTTTAGTTTGCTGGAGTAACGTACTAACTGAGAAGCAGTTCGGCCTTGGATCCATGGGTTTGCCCATGGCCATCAACCTGCAAAAGAAGCTTCAATCCCACGGCGCCAACCTGACTTTCTCAAACCGCACTGTATCAAAGGGAGCCGCTCTGGTAGAAGCAGGAGCTGTTGCAAAGAACAACATCGTAGAGGTTGCACAAATATGCGACGACATTTTCACCATGGTCAGTCTCGACATGATACATCACCTTGTCTAGAAGTTTTGCCTTGGGAGAATGCCTTCTGACTATCCAAATAGGTCTCGGCAGACGCGGTTCTCCAATCGCTAGTTGAGGAACTCCTGGCGAGCGGTATTGACCTCAACGGCAAGACGTTCATCGACTGCTCCACAATACACCCCGACACGGCGGGCTCCGTATCGGAAACCCTGCAGAAGGCCGGCGCCACCTTTATTGCTGCCCCAGTCTTTGGCGCCAACCCAGTCGCTCAGGCCGGAAGACTCATCTTCGCCATGGCCGGCCCCACGGCAGCTATCGAGCGTCTTGAGCCCTTGGTTGTTGATGTGATGGGAAGGAAAGTCATCAACATGGGCGAGGACGTCAAGAAGGCCCCCATGTTGAAGGTGACAGGGTACGTAGTAATACCTGGAAGTATGCGTGACTCTGCAATGATCGCTAACATGACCTTTTGTAGGAATGTGCTTCTCGTCGTCTTCCTCGAGGCTATTGCCGAGACGCAAGTGTTGGCGGAACAGAACGGTATTGGCAGCAACGTGATGGAAGATCTCATCTTTGAGAACTTTGGGCCGGTATTGGGGAGCTATTCGCGCAGGATGACGAGCGGATCCTGGGCTCCCAAGGAAGGAACGGCTGGATTCCTTGTGTCAAACACCATCAAGGACGCGAAACATGCGCTCCGAGTCGCCAACGACCTTGGCGTCAGGATGCCGGCGTTGGACATTGCGACAAACAACATGCTCAGTGCAAGGGCGTACGGAGGCGAGAACCTGGACGGTGCGGCTCTGTATGGAACTCTCCGGTCCCAGTCAGGTCTTCCCTTCTGGTCCGAAAACAGTCGTCAAGAGTGAGGAGTCGGGTTGAAATTCGTGTCGGAGTGTTGATGATTAGAAGTTATAGACGGGAGCAGATCCTTGGAAGCATAATAATTGCCACGCATGCAGCGCATGGGCTATGATACACGCAGATAGATCACGACAATAGACAAATAACTAAGACTTTCGGGCGACCTCTTCGATGGTGAGAAAACGAGGCTATGTTCACAAGGTAAACCATCTTCACCGCACAAATATATGCATTGCCTTAATTACTTGCAAGGAGGGGCTAGCATGTCGCTATTGGGCCTGGTTCTTCCAACATGCTAGAGGTAAAGCCGAAGTTTGACTCTATGACCAAAGCAGATGTCTTTGGTAAGTGAAGTCTCGCAACATGAAATCTTGAAAGTAATTCCAACGAAATGAAGACCTCCACGATATCAAAACCCTCCACTCAATTTCCGTTTCGCCATGCTTGAAGGAAATTGCGAAATCGGCACCCGCTCATTATAAATACAGCGCTCGCCTCCCGAACAAAGTTGCCAAGGCGCATTACCAAGACTACCAAGCAACCGCTAAATGCTGCCTGTAGTCTTGTCATTGCAAACTTATCGCAGACAAAAGCACGTCTTTCTCTTGGTAAATCGCATCATCATCCCAGTTTCGCTCACAATTGCTCCTTTCTCACTCCTTTTCGTAACTATCCTCGGGAACCGAATAGTTCATTCGCTGTCGACGAGGAGCGAACACTGCCACAGCCAAGCACTACCAAGAACACAATTTTGAGAGAATCAGCTGTGAAATGAATTTGGCTGGGGGTTCTAGTGATGTCTGCGAATACATCATTGGCGTTTTGCCATGAAGTGTCGAGCTATCAGTGTTGGGAATACTTGGCAATGTCTTGCCCTTGTTTTTTCGTCATTGTTGCCAAAAAGGCGGGCAGAAGGGATCAAATATCGCGCAAAACATCTGTCAACTATGGTTGTAATATCCATACGTGTACGCCAACAGTTTCACGCCAATGACTACATAGTCATGTTCACTATAGTCATAGTCAATCTGGACATGTCAATCCTCAAATATCCTGTCCTCCGCCCCGTTGATTCCGATTTCGAGAAAAGGGTTCTTTGCACGACCTGAGACTGCACGAAATATCACCTTTTTCGAAAAGCCTATGTTCGCACCCAAGGATGTCCGAGAAGCAAGTCGTCGAGCAATCCTCGGCCTCGGCCTCAGAGCCTGAGAGCAAGAAAGACACTGACACGATTAATCGCGAGGCGACAGACGAGGAGATCGAGCAAACAAAGAATCGCATCCTCCGCGAGCAAGCAGACCTTCGCCAGCAGGATGCTCCCATCATCCCAATCTTGTCCTTCTTCAAGAAGAAGAATGGGTACGATCCCAATGCGATAGCAACACAACCATCTGTCTACGACCACCCGTCGACTGCGAAGTTCTTCCAGCCACATCCAAAGTATGAGAATTTGCATCGCTTTGATCCGACATTTCGATGGAGTTGGGGCGAAGAGCTGCCCCTGATCACGAAGATGGATTGGCGCGTGACGCTATGGGCGTGTCTTGGTATGTGTATCGTGGTAAATGAAACCCAATGCTTGGGTTCTAACGTTGCCACAGCTTTCTTCGCTCTCGATCTGCCTCGAGGCAATCTAAGTCAAGCCAACTCGGCCTCTTTCCTCGAGAACCTTGGTATGAACACCAACGACTACAACCTCGGCAACACAGTCTTCCAGATATCATTCCTCTGCGCAGAGTTGCCGTCGCAGATGGTCAGCAAGAAGCTCGGCCCAGACCGCTGGATTCCCTTCATCATGTGTTCTTGGAGTCTGGTGTCGGGATGTCAATTCTGGCTTAGTGGTCGAACCTCCTTTCTTGTGTGTCGTGCCCTCCTGGGCGTTCTTCAGGGCGGGTTCATTCCCGACGTGGTCTTGTACTTGACGTACTTCTTCAAATCGACCGAGCTCCCCTTCCGACTTGCCATGTTTTGGACAGTTCGTCGAATCACGGATATCGTTGCACCCCTATTAGCGCTTGGTGTCCTTCGCATGGATGGGATCAACGGCTACGAGGGCTGGAGATGGCTCTTTCTGATTGAAGGGATCATTACACTGTCAATCAGTGTCTGGTCCTGGTTCGCAATGGCGGCCTCGCCAACGCAAACAAAGGCTTGGTGGCGACCCAATGGATGGTTCAATGAACAGGAAGAGAAGATCCTGGTCAATCGAATCCTTCGTGACGACCCCTCAAAATGCGATATGCACAATCGGCAGGCAATCACCCCCAAGCTGCTTCTCAAGTCTCTCGCTGACTGGGAGCTTTGGCCCATCTACATCTTTGGTCTTCTCTGGGAAATTCCAGCCGGCCCTCCCGACCAATATCTCACACTGACTCTCCGCAACCTTGGATTCAACACAAACGATACTAATTTGCTGAGTATTCCGCCTCAATTCTTGGGAGCCATTTTCATGTTGATCATGACATATCTTTCCGAGATATGGGACACGAGAGCATTGTTTGGTGCCTTCACGCAGCTGTGGTATCTCCCGAATCTCATAGCTATGGCCGTCCTTCCGGCAGATGCTAGTCCCTGGGCCCAGTACGCTGTTGTCACTGTTCTCCTGTCCTATCCATCGCGTAAGTCTCGGTTCTGTTGAGGACTAAGAAGTGACTTAATCTGACGTTACTAGCTCATGCCATGCACGTCTCTTGGGCATCTCGGAACTCTCACTCTGTTCGTACCAGAGCCGTCTCCGCGGCTTTGTACAAGTAAGTCAACACCACACTCTACTCAGTTACGGATATCTATCTAATTGGTCTATGTTGCCAGCATGATGGTTCAGCTTGCTCGCGTCATCTACTCCAATATTTACCGGGAAGACGATAGACCCGAATGTGAGTGCCGTGGTATAATTTTGTACTTGTTGTGAAAGGCTGACGAGATCGGTGATACTTAAGATCGACGTGGCAACCGGGTTCTAATTGGAATATGCTGCATGAACATCTGCGTTTACCTGATCGCTAAGGCATTCTATATGTGGTGTAACAAGAAAAGAGAAAAAGAATGGAATGCAATGACCGAAGAGGTAAGCCATCTAACAATTCCTAATAAGGTCCGTAGCTAACGCTGGCCTCCAGGAGAGGATCCACTACCTCGAGACGACAAAGGACGAGGGCAGTAACCGCAAGGACATTCGCTTCAAGCACTAGGTCATATCAGCCTCTGAGAGTTAGAAGTTCTCTTTAGAAGTTCTCTTTAGATGTTCTTGAGATCATGTCAGCATCAAAGTCGTCCCCGTTTCCTCCACTACTGTACGCCATTGGCTCGTCACACGACCATCAGACGAGGGTCCCCGTTTCCACACTTCATACACAACTTGAGTTCCTGTCCTCACCGCCTTGATGCCGTAAACCGCAACTTTCGTGTACCATTGGCGAAAGCGGTCTTGGAGACGCTGGTCATGAGCTTCCGTTGCCGCCATGAAAGCCGGCCAGAAAAGGGGTGCAGCAAGTAGCTTAGTCTCGGTCTTGATGGTCTCGATGGCCTCAATGTCATGTAGAACCTCTGTCACATACTGGCGGAGGTATCGATGGCTGAGTAGTCTGACATTCTGGGAGAAGTAAATAATGAGAGCGTTGTGGAATGAATGTGTTTGGTGGTAGATGATCTCAAAGCTCGTGCCAATATCGGCATCGCGATACCGAGTGAGTTCCACGTCGAGTGGCCAGTCGAAGATATCTCTTTCAATATCATCGCACATTCTGTCCAAATCTTTCGGTATCGATGTGATGCCATGGGCTTTCCTCGCCGCATCGATCCTATCGATCACATCACTGGTTCTTTGGAGTAAGACCAGCAAGCTCTGAGGGATTCCATAGATACATTCATATGATGCCATCTCGCTTGCTGCGTGCGCAGGCTCAGAGCACGTAGATATCGTATCCTCGTCTGGGAAAGGAAAAGCATTGGTGGAGACTTGTTGGCCTGGAGAATGGGGCATATGAAGAACACCTTCTCCGGAAGATGGCGAAAAGCGACATGTGGAACTTCGTAGGGTAGCGGTACTTTCGTAGATAACTCGAAGGTAATAGTAGATCCGATGTAGGGCTCGAGCTTTTGAAGACAGCCTTGGCTTTCCCTTCCCCATGTGGATGATGAGCTGTTGAGCGCCGTTTAGATGAACATCACAGGTGCTTGTGTCTCCCGACATAACCTAGCCTAGGTGTTAGTGAGATATCAAAAGACTTGATCGATTTTGAGCAAGTTTAAAAGAGAATACAGGGGATTTGACGAACACCGATAGGCCATCAGAAGGTTTAATCCTCCTGCATAGCTGGTGCGGTATTCTTGTTTGCCTGCCAAGAGACAACGCAATGAAATCACAGCTTACGTTTATTGTTATCATTGACAGCATTGTTGCTAGAAACTCCTTATACTTCGGTCTTTCTGGTGCGTGGAGGTCAACTTCTACCGCTTGTTTGAGTAATCCAATGGCATTATAACGATAGAGAGTGGCTGCCTCCACCCAATTCGACTCGACTTCCAGCTTTTTTTCTGACACCTGAACGTTTGAGAGGTAGTAGGCACTTATGGAGAGCAGCGCGTTGCGTAGGGCGTTGCGGATCCTAGATGTTGCTCCCATCACACTCAGCTCACCGGCTCCCTGGATAGCTCGAGGCAGATGTATCGTCTTCCAAGGACTCTTTGCATTGTCGATGACACAAAAAATGTTGACTACTCTATGCATGTAGTGATGCATGAGAAATCGCTCTCTTTCAGAGATGACCGTAATCGGTGGCCTTGAAAGTTCTGTCGAGACGCTTATCCCTGGCCAACACTGATGCTCTGATGAAGAAGACGAAACTTTGTCAGCGACTCCCTCGTCTTGAAGGTTGTCTGAATGGTCTTGAGCAAATCCTGTGCCTAGACTATTTGCCTCAGTCTCCGAAGGCCCTTGCACATGTAGATTGCACAACTCCCAAGCTGCTTCAGCTTCGGAATGTGAAGGGGATGGAAGAATCTGCTGTCTCTCGGGACTTGGCACACTTGGAGAGGAAGTGTAAAGAGCCAGGTCTGTACCCAGCATTCGTTCAGACTCTTCATCGCACGTCTCGGCTATCGTGAGAGGATCTTGCGGGAGGAAAGTGCCGGCAGTACTCCGAGAATCGAAAGTCGATAGTGTTCTTGCATCAAACACTCCGAAATTCTCTACGTTGATACCCACATCACCGCTCAAGCTGGTTCCTGACGATGGTTCCACAGAGTCAATGAGTTTAAGTATTCCCTCGACTTGATTCCATGCCAGAACTTGTTGAGTGGGTGCTACATAATTCTTAGTACAACGTAGAAGACTGTTTACGGTGATCGGAGAGCCTACAAACTGGAAGTTGTCGCCTGCGAGATCTGGAGGCCGATGCATCGTTGGCCAGTTCGATATCAGACAAGTTCGAATCTGATGGGACCGTAGTCTCAGGATGCAGCCATTGAAGACGAACACCATAGCCTTGGCAGTCAAGTCTTCGTACTTTGCACGGAGAACAGTGTGGTTTGGCCTCGTCGCACTTGACTTTTCTTGAGCGGCATGTCCAGCAACCAGTGAAAGTCTTGGTCCGTCTTCGGCCAAGATACGTTGCAGGCCTCGGATAGGACATCGGTCAAGTCAAGGTTGCCGGACAGAGATCGAGTTGCTGGCTTCTCCTACGCATGTGTGAAACAGGAAGCTGAGAGCGAGAGCAGCGGGTGACTGGACCCCATCCGACGGACTTCGTAATCTGTTGCTTTCCCGGACGGCCCTGGTTTTGGAGATAAACACGGGCCCCGGAGAGAATCCGGAGGAGATACGGATAAGCTTATCACCCTTCGTCAAGCGGGCGCCGATTGGAGTGGAGACAATGATAAGGCAGGAGGAGTAGATCCCGCGATGGAAGGCCACAGCGAAGCTAGCAGTTAGTCGCAGTTGATTTTCAATGCAACATGATCAGGTAGATGGTCAAGGACATCAAGTCGTGCTTGGAATTAGGGCAATATTCATGTCGTAAAGAAGGCTCCGATCTGGACATTATCTGCTGGATAAGAAGCGTCGTAAACGAGCCGCCCGGTATTTCACCGTGCATGTGAGATAAGCAAAATCACGTCTAGTTCACCACTGCAGTCAGGTACGAGTACGAGGATTCTGTGTACCAAGCACAGGCTTAGCCACCACGATGTCAACAACAATCACTATGACCGCTGCACCCAGCGACACTATCACAAAATGCTCAGGAACTCTTGCAACACCGCCGGTGGCTGAAAAATCTGGGGTGACAGCCCTATCGACAGGCGGCTACGAGTTTCCAGGCATCCCAAATATCACCGACCCGTACAAGAAGAGACAATGGCAGCTCGAGCACATGGCTGGCGCTTTCAGAGTATTTGCGCGTAAAGGGTTCACCGAGGGAACCAGTGGACACATCAGCGTTCGCGACCCGGTAGACCCAAATACTTTCTGGATCAACCCGTGAGAGTCTCTAAGAACCCGTCATTATCTCGGAATGCTAGCATCTAACAGCATACTCACTTTAGGCTTGGAAAACACTTTGGAATGCTCAAAGCTAGTGACATGGTTCAGATTGACGAAGAGGGCCAAGTCATCGGCGGCAACAGGGCAGCTGTCAACGCAGCAGGCTTCATGATCCACAGCGCCATTCACAAAGCTCGCCCTGACATCCATGCGGCCTGTCATACACATTCGCCAGCCGGGAAAGCCTGGTCAACGTTCGGAAAACCACTTGACATCATCAGTCAAGACACTTGCAACTTTTGGGGGATTCAGGCGGTGTACAGGTCTTTTGGCGGTGTTGTTTTGGAAGCTGACGAAAGTGAAAAGATCGCGGAGTCTCTGGGTGAAAAGGGCCGCGTCATTATTCTTCAGAACCATGGCCTATTGACGACTGGAGGCACGGTTGATGAGGCGGCGTATCTTTTCACGTTGATGGAGAAGTCATGCGAGGTTCAGATTATGGTGGAAAGCACAGGTCTCACCAAGAACCTGATCGGGGAAAAGGAAGCTGAGTTCACAGCCAAAGTTAATGCTGATCCGGTACGTGAAAAATTTCGTGTGATATTCAACCTCGACGAGAATGACTGAAGGCTAACTCCGATTAAACGCATAGGAGACTTTATACACAGAGTTTCAACCCGACTTCGAGTATGAAATCTGGAAATCGCATGGAGAACTGTGTAAAGGAGAGTAGAGGTCATGTCCGAGTCTTGAGTGCCTCTCAAGATTCGCGTATGCTCGATTATACTGTTTGCTGCCAGCTTTGGAAACCCTTGATTAGTGGTGCACCTATTTTGATTTGGACCGTCGATATTGTGTTCTCCGAATAATCTGAAGCAAAGTTGACCTCCAGGTGGTGCGCAGGCCTGCATTGGATATCGTTTTTTTTTTTTTTTTTTTCGTTAAACGCGAATGACTGCTTGGTTCTTAGACATCCTGAAGCTCTCTGTCCGGGTAAGAGTCGTTGTATTATGCGTTGCGTAGGTCTATCGCGATGAAAGCTCTATAATCCTACTACTTAGGCTTTCCCTGTCAATATCTTCCGGTGGACCTCCACCCAGTTCTTCTCCAGTTCGCCTTTTACAACGCCCACGAGAAAACGGGAGCAGTGAGCGTCCACAACCTCTTCTAACTCCAGACTTCCGTCGCTCCCCTTGCGAACACGCCACCGCGTTTCCAAAAGGACGCTCATGGGGCAGTGGATTTTGACAAAACTTCCATCCGGAGTGAAGGTAAACTCGTACTCGCTGACACTCTTCTTCTCGAGCATGCCTTTGGGCAGGGCCTTTGGGAGGTTGGTAGGCACCGTATCCGTGATGGTGTAGCACTCAGTGACCGCTATGGAATCGACATCGTCGGGAACAGTGGGGGGCACCTTGGGCGTGCGGGGCGTCCAGTGTGTCAGATTGGGGTCGCTCTTGATGTGGACTTCCGCGTTGTGCAGGTGGGAGAGGACCTCCTCACGGGTCATGTAGTCGGGAACCGGTGTGACATGAGTCAACTGGAATGAGGTGGTGAGCATTTTGGTTGTGTAGGTTGCTGCCAATGCCGGTTTCTCTCCAGAATAAATCAAGTTGCCTTGAAAACACTTTAGAGGTGTCTCAAAGAGAACTCTACAAGTTGAGTTTAGCAGAGGACTGAGTAGAAGTCGGTGTATCGGTGTAGATGGTATGGGAAGTGAACAAAGCCGATTTCATCGATAACTATAGATGCGTTGTACAGGCTACTACGTATTTGAACTGCTGACCATATTTATGTAGAAGCCATTTCCATCGATAAGCGCAACATCCAATGTCAAACTCGCAACCTCAAAGGCCGTTTGGTCGAAGTCAAAAGAGGCATGATACATCTAACGTGTCAAACCTGGCCTACCTAGAATCCCGAGTCCATCGCACTGGATTAGATTATAGTGGTAGCTTTTCCAATTGATCCCCTGTAGTTCCCCCACAAACCGAGGTTACCGAGCGCCCATCAACAAAAGCCAGGCATTGTCTGTATCCGCTTGGCTATTGCGACAAACACCACGTTACCAATGCTTCGGAAGGGGAAACTTTAAGTAACTGGGCCAGTAAAAAGATCGGCCTATTGTGAATGGATGAAGCTTGTATGCCATGCCGGTGGGCGAAACACCAGGCTGATGCACAGAGGCCGGCACCGCGCGACAGCGCTCTCGTCCCTTGTCTGAGCGGCATGGTCTTCTAGAACGGCGACGAGGTAGAAGCCCGACGCCGCTGCATTCAACGCCATGAGCTGTTCGTTGTGGACTTCTGAGCCAGATCTCAGCATTCGGGGCTGATACCACGCTGCTGATAAGTGAGCGTGCAGCATTGGTGGTATGTTCCGATAGTAGAAGATGTTAATTCGGATTATAACTTTAACGGAAATAGTGTTCACTTCTACTCCAGTGGACAAGTCAAATGTATCGTTTTGGCACAGCGCTCGAAGACATGGCTCCAGGTTCGTGTAATATCATCGAGGTTATTGACCAAGATATACATAAGGTAACTAGAGGCGTGATACCAGACCACCTTGAAGGCTTTTCACAACCTCCGCAGCCGCCCGCTCTCCACTTCGTACAGCGCCTTCCATGTATCCCTTCCATTCACCTGCGGTTTCTGTTCCCGCGAAGTGGATATCACGATACGGCTCCCGAAGCCCATCTCCACCAAGCGTGTCAAGAACTCCAGGGGTGAGTGACGTGCAAGGGCATCCCCATCCCGAAAACTCATCGTTGACCCATTCGTAGAATACCATCTGCTTGAAGAGCTGACGAATATTCTCGACGCCATACAATTGGCTCAGTTGCTCCAGTAGGCTGCTCTCTCGCTCAATGGTTGTCGTTGCCGCCCATGCCTTGCCAGGCTCGCCGGCCATGAAGCACGTTAATACGAATTTCTTGTCCGCGGGACTGCTCGTGTCACGGATTACAGAAGCAGGGCCGACGAATGATTGAGCCAAGCCGCAATATCCCTTCTCAACCCAGAACGGGGTGCTGAACTCCATCATAGCTTTCGTGTAGTATCCGTATGTTTGTGACTCGATCCAGGCCAGCTTCGTATGGGGTAGCGCTGGCTGAAATGAAATCGCCTTGAGGACGGGACCGGGTACAGTCGTAATGACCTTTTGCGCTGAGTAGACCTTACCGCCGGCCTCGACTTTGACGGAGCGATTCTCGTTCTGTACAACAGTCTGGACGGGGCTAGAGAGACGGACGACACCTTCAGGCAACGACGAAGCCAACCCTTTAGAGAAGAGCTGCGTGCCTTGGCGGACCCGGAGATACTGTCCTCCATCTTTTCTATCCGATCGCATCTGCAGCAGTCCACCGCCCGACTTGCAGTAGTTCAGGAAGTACAGTGTGGAGATGTCCTTTGGCTCTTGGCCCAACATGGCCCGTGTCCAGACTGTGGCTGTGGCCAGAGCAACATTATCGGCACCTCGAGATTTGAGGTAAGCCTCGAATGTGAGAGAGTCGAGAGATGTGTCTTGTGGTCTGAAAACGTCGAGGGCTTGGCAGTCTGCTTCTGCCATGTCCCTGATCTTGGCTAGATGATCGCGCGTCGATTCGCTGAACTATATCCATGACAAACATGTGAGAAATGCTCATATCAGACGAGGCGTGTTCGGAACTGACCTTAGGCAGCTCTCCATACGGGAAAGGACTGCATTTGCCATCAAAATCTTGAAGAACACAGTTACCGTTGGTGTTCTGCTCGATCAACTCAGCGCCATATGTCTTCGCAAGTTCATACATCCTGCTTTGGTTCGTGTCGTTGATCCACGCCGCGCCCAGGTCGAACACCCCATTGTCCCTGCCATCCTCCATCGGTTGACTCCACGTCTTGCCGCCCACACGATCTCGGGCTTCCAGAACAACGCAGCTCAGTCCAGCCCGCCGGACCTCATAAGCGGCGGAAAGACCCGCCAATCCCGCAC